TGGAGAGTGAGCATTTCATTTGGAATAGGAAGCATCAGTGCAATTTTTAGATACAGAGACTGAAAAAAATAACTTATATTCTTCTACCAGGGTATCAAAAGAAGTGCAACTAGTGATCAAAATAGAACAAGTTCCCATGACCAAGATGATGACTTTATATTTCTTGGATAAGAAGATATGTCAGCAAATTTCTTAGTAAAAAAATGTTACTGCATTGAGCATCTGCCCCCTTGTGGTCAGTGTGTGTCATAGCGACTGGTAGTTCTGTTGTTTGGTTGATTTGCATATTAGCATTTTATTATATAGGATAATAGACCTTTGGGAGATGCATTTTAACATTGTAATCAAACAGACAGTACTAAATAGGACAGCACCTTATCAGAGTATAGCAACCTCAATAATTCTCAATTATGTTCTTCTTTTCACCCCAAGTATTGTAGGCATAAAATATTAGATAAAAAAATGTTAAAGGCAGTCTTAGGGAAGAAAAGATGTCACAGGGATTAGAATCTACAAAAGGACATGGTGGTGAGAAATTCTAACTTCAATTTTTTAAAGTATAAGTGATGCATAAACTTACCAAGAACTAGATGTACCCTCTACCTAAGCTGACTAGACAGTGAGCGTGGACAACAGCTCTGTCAGTCACACTGCCTTCTGACTGCTGATTGGCAAAGGAGATGTCGTCATTGCAGACAAGGCAAAGAGCTCTAGTTTCTAGAAGTAATTGAGAATGTTCTGAAAGGGTCTGGGAAGCCTTATGATTTTTTTTAAAACATGAAGGAAGACACAATGTCCATGTCACATAATCTGTTTATTTTACCAAGCCATTAGAATCCAGACACTGCATTTTGGCAGAGGTAAGATAGATAAGAAAGGCAAATGAAATTCACTCATTTGAATATAGGAGAGATGGAGTGGGCATAGTAAGCATCAAGAATGACTGGTGTACAGATGACTGAGGGCAGGAGTTAGAAGAACCTGGTCTCCTTTACCTCCTCGGTGGCTCGTAGTAACCAGCCACAGCCAGAGAAAGGGAATTTGGGGGATGGAAGAAGAAGCAGTGCAAATGCTAAAGATGGAGAGAGGTGTGTTTGTAGCTGGCTATGGTGGCATGGTGGGAGGCTGCAAAGTGCAGTGAGCGAGGAGGAAAGCAGTAGGGCAAGGGAAACAGATAGCAGGGACCCTTGCCACTGGGGGAGTGTCCAGGCCAGCAGCAGTGCCCTCCACTGCCAGCACGTTAGAAATGCAAGATCTCAGGTCTTCTCCACCTATTAAGGCTCACACTGCATTTTAACAAGGTCCCCAGGCAATTCTTTGGCATAGTAAAGTTTAAGGACCATTGTGGATATAAGACTTTGATATTCACTTAGGGACAGTGGTTGGTTGTACACTGGTAGAAAGTGTTGGGGGTGTGTGTGTGTGTGTGTGTGTGTGTGTGTGTGTTTTAAGTAATAATACCTTTACCCACACTCAGATTCTTTTTTTAAAAAATATATTTTATTGATTTTGTACAGAGAGGAAGGGAGAGAGATAGAGAGTTAGAAACATTGATGAGAGAGAGTCATTGATCAGCTGCCTCTTGCACACCCCCTACTGGGGATATGCCCGCAACCAAGATACGTGGCCTTGACCGGAATCGAACCCGGGTCCCTTCAGTTCCCAAGCCAACACTCTATCCATTGAGCCAAACCAGTTTCGGCCACACTCAGAGATTCCCATTTAATTGGTTCAGGGTCAGACCCGAACATTGGTATTTAAAAATATTCCTAGGATTGCTAATGTGTAAGATTTGAGCATGACAGTTCCAAGTCCCATCATTTGATTTTTCTTTACAAAAGGTCATCCTCTCTGTTATGTTGAGAAAAGACTATCTATATTAATAAAAGAATGATATGCTAATTAGGGCGGATGTCTTCCGGATGAACATCCGGATATCCTTCCTGACAAAGCCGGGACACGGTCCTGGGGCGAGGAGGCCAAGCTGGGACCAGTCTCCCCCATGGACCTGGTCAGGGACCTGCCGGGGCCAGAGCGCTAACCGGCTGCTGGTAAGTGAGGCGCCACCTTGGCAGCGAGGAGCAGGGGGCAGGCCACAGGCTGGCGGCAAGCCTCTTGCCTTGGCCGGGCTCCAGCAGGCACACTGCGGCCCCAGAGCGTGTTCACTGCATAGGAAGAAAGGACTCTGTTCCAGGCGCGGGCTGGGGCAGTACCGACGCCCGACCCCCCACCTTTGTGTGCGGGCCCCTGTGGGCGGGCAGCCCCCCGTGGGCCGCACAGCCACCACCTGGCGCAGAGTCCCTCCGCCTTCTCAGGTGGTGCAGCTTCCGGCCTGGATCTGAATCACGGTTCCCTTGAGCAAGGTGTTTCCGTATGTGTGTGCTCGTACAGGTTCAGCGTTTTTTGTTTTGTTTTGTTGTTTTGTTTTGTTTTGTTTTTTACCCCAGAGATTGAAGGAATCGCCAGCGGTATCTTTCGTGTTTTTGAATCATCCTCTGTGCTTCTCTGATATTTTTGGTCGATAGTAGTTTCCCAGGTCATGGGAAGTCTTACTCTCCCCAGAGTGAGGAGCACCAGCCCAGGTCCTGATTGCAGGGGTGAGTTCCCGCAGGCTGCGGGATGATCCCCACGCATTAGCCACAGGAGACCAGTACCTTTGTTAGTGCTGTGTGTCCGGGTTTTCATTGGACAAATGCGCGGTGGTCCGGTGCGCCAGTGTAGCAAAATCTTGCAGGAGGAGAATTCTGTCTGGGTTTCCCCAAATTCCCTCAGCTCCCACTCACCCCTCTGCAAAGGTGCAGAACAAGTGAGGCCCCTTAAATAAAAATCAGAGGTCTCCAGCAATGGTGGGCCTCTCTCATCACAGGCATTTGTACTGGGTGGCATTTGAGTATTTATCCAGGCACCATGACAGAGAAACACAAGCTCAAGTCATGATCTCTGCCCATAAATAATTCACAATCTTATTAGAGCGAGTGGATGATAAAAGCGCAGTAATGACATCAGAATGTAAGGCAACCATACAGAGAGGAACAGAGGGAATTACTAGGGTGATTTTCTAACAATTAGTATAAAGTACATGTGCTATGAATTAAATAAAAATAAATGTGTGTAAGTAGCTGCGTCATGAGTATGGCATCCCTTCCTATTTTAAAGGAAGCTGAGTTCCATGTGAACTGTGTACTATGCTATGATATCTGAGGCACAGGACAAGTGAGGTCCTAAGTGTACTATGCTTTGATATTTGAGTCATTCTTTATTGTTCAATGTGATTTATTTCTGTATGCCTCAGTTTTGTAATAGTTAAATTACTAGAATAATACAACTTGCTATAAAATATTACTAGAAGATCAAATGATCAGGTGACATTTATTGTTATTTTCTATAAATGAAATCAATCTCTGGCATGCTAAAGTAATAGGCATTATAGAAATATTCAGATAAGGAGACCTACAGGCTTGATTACAAGTGAGGTTTACTATCACAACCCAAATTTATTGCTTTAAAAAAAGCAGGGAGCCAACTAGAAACTGAACCAAATATAAGCCCTTGAAGGGCAAATGTAAATTGGATAAGCTTCGTTATTACAAGAGCAACAAGAAAAAATTCAGAGGCAAGAATGAGAAGCAGGCTGAATACAGTCTAAGTTGCTGCTAAAGAAAAAGAATGGTATACTATGAAAATACTTAATGCAGACTGTAAAGACATTTGTTCAAAGAGGATTTCCTAGAGTAGGTGGTATTTCTGTTATTTATTTTTAATGTGAAGACATTAGCTAGATAAGAAAAAGGTAAAGAGGTCCCGGATTGGAGAGGCTGCAGACTCCCCTCCCCCTCTGTTGTATGAATTTTGTGCACTGGGCCTCTAGTATGGGGGAAAGAGTGGAAGTAGTTAAGAATAAAATGGGCAAAAATCTAATTCATACCACTAGAGCACATGTGTCAAACACAAGGCCTGCGGGCCAAATCCGTCCCGCCAGGCCTTGCAATGTGGCCCGCACCGCGCTGTCATCACTGCACTCCACTGCGTTTCCATCACAATGACAGTTTCCATCACAATGGTTCAGTAAACCATTCGGCCCGCGATTTAGGCTGGATTTTAGATTTTGGCCCCTTCTCTGATTGAGTTCGACACCCCTACGACTAGAGGCCCAGTTGGGAGGAGGGGGGAGTCCCTCAGCCCAGCCTGTACCCTCTCCCAGTCCAGAACCGGACCCCCTTGGGGCATATCTCTGCCTGCCAGCTTAGGCCCAAATCCTTGGCTGATCCCCGAGAGGATCAGGCCTAAGCCAGCAGTCAGATATCTCTCTCATAGTCTGGGGCTCTCACAGTCCAGGACACCTCGCTCTTTATTCAAAATACATTTGCCCTCATTCTTGCACTCGCCAGCTGTGAGCCCAGCTTCTGGCTGAGCAGCACTCTCCTTATGGGAGGGCGTTGACCACCAGGGGGCAGTTCCTGCATTGAGCGTCTGCCCCCTGATGGTCAGTGTGTGTCATAGTGATCAATCATTCTACAGTTCAACCGATTTGCATATTAGGGTTTTATGATATAGGATTGGTTAGCAATTATATGAAAAAATTGTGACTTTACTGAGGACATCAGTAAAGATTTGAAAAACAATGGATTGGGGATTTCTCTTGTCATCTTAGAAAGGAAGATTACAATTGTAAAGATGTCCAGTCTGTTCTTATTAATATTTTAGTAGCCTGGTGCATGAAATTCATGCATGGCAGGAATTGTCCCTCAGTCCAGCCTTTACCTTCTTCAATCTGGGACCCTTTGGGGGATGTCTGACTGCTAGTTTAGGCCTGATCCCGCAGCACAGAATAAGGCCTAAACTGCCATTCGGACACTCCTCTCACAATCTGGGACTGTTGGCTCCTAACTGTTGGACCTGCCTGCCTGCCTAATTGCCCCTAATTGCTTTTGCCTGTCAGCCTGATTGCCCCCAACTGCTCCCCTGCTGGTTTGATTGCCCCTAATTACCTCTGCCAGCACTCAGGACCCAGAATTCCCTCTTCCAGCTGGCAGCAGGCACCCTGGACCCACGCTTTCCTCTCTCTGGCCGGCCACAGGCACCCAGGACCCAGGCCATCTTCACCTGGGCCGGCTGCAGCCGCAGGGCATGGTGGGCTCAGCCAGCCACAGGAGCTAGTGCCTGGGACTGCGGGGTGGGCGGCTTGTCCGGCTGGCTGCGGCCCTGGACCATGGGGCAGGCAGCTTCTCCACCTCCCAGGCCGCAGCAAGCCACAGGCTCTGGTGCCTGGGACTACCAGCAGGTGGCTTCACCCAGGCCTGGCTTTGTCAGGAAGGACATTCGGATGGTCATCAGGTGTAATTAGCATATTATCCTTTTATTAGTATAGATCATGGTGTGTTTTTTCTCGCCATCATTAACCTTAGTAACTGTCGCTTATGTATTAAAGCTCCACTCCTGCTAAGTCTAGAAGCAGCCTCAGAATCCTCACCATTCATCTTAAGTGTGATGCTCAGTAGATCAGAATTATTAATAATACCTGAGGTGAAGCCTCTTATTGCAGATGTATCCCAGAATGCCTGGCATCCTTTCTGCTTTCTGATCCAGCTAATAATACATTTCCTCTATAATGTTGATGGAGGTCATTTCCCTCCTTTCAGTTCTAGTAGTAGATTACCATCTACTACCTAAGAAGCAAAATTGACTGTCTCCATGTAGATTGCAAAATAAGATACTTTTCTCATCAATAAAATTTCATTTTTTCAGCTTGAGTGATTTTGTCAACCACGTACTGAGTTAATAAGTTTATAACAAATTGAGTGAATTATTGTTTCAGGTACTGTGCTGTATCATACACAGATTTCATTTTATCTTTGCAACACTTATACAGTAGGTACTATAATTACACAGATGAGAACACTGAGGTACAGAGAGATCAGGTAACTTGACCAATGAAACCTGAAAGTGCTGAGTCTCCTTTCAAATCCATTAGCCATGCCTTTTTTTTTTTTTAATATATATTTTATTAATTTTTCACAGAGAGGAAGAGAGAGGGATAGAGAGTCAGAAACATTGATGGGAGAGAATCATCAATCAGCTGCCTCTTGCACACCCCCTCCTGGGGATGTGCGGGCAACCAAGGTACATGCTCTTGACCGGAATTGAATCTGGGACCTTTCAGTCCGCAGGCCGACGCTCTATCCACTGAGCCAAACTGGTTTTGGCGAGCCATGCCCTTTAACCATTATACCCAACTCTGTATTGAGGAGCCTGCTCTTAATGGCTCACAAATTTTCAGGAATTTTGCAAGCTAGTTGTTAAACATGGTCATTAATAAAAATTAAATTATATAATTTTAAAAGTGAATAAATTACATTAAAATCAAAGGTAATACACATTCTAAATTCATCACTCCTCAGTTATTGACTACACTTTACTGTTCTGACTCTTGACATATTTATATCTTTTGGGTCTTTCTGGCGGAATATAATAGTGTATTACTGCATGTTTCTCCTCAGCTCTACATTTAGTGGCATCACATTAGCAGCCGAAATCAGCCATGGAGGGAGAATTTATGCCACAGAAATTGGCCGATACTATAAATCAGGGTTTTGTTTTGTTTTTTGTTTTGTTTTTTTCTTTTTCTTTTCCCCCAGCAGGGTTTTGTTTACTCAGATTGAGAGCCAGTTGTTAAACAGTTACCAGCAGAACTCTGACCACATTGGTAGGAGTGGTCTTGTCAAAATGTGTTATATTATGCAGATAAAAATCTATTTAAACAGACTTGATATAGATATTTTCAAAGATGGAAGAATTGTCCCTGTCAACGATTTTAGTTGATTCAGACAATCTTCACTGATTGTCATCATTGCAAAGTTTGCAGTCCCCACATGGATTGCTGGATATCATATGTCTTGCCCTGTCCCTGTCCCCTCCCTTTCTAGCCTTTGGTACCTTAAGGAGTCTAGTTTTCCATATGTATCAACCTTACCTACTTAAAAATGTAAGCTTTTAATATTGTTCTCTCTGTTTCTTATTCTTTAGAAGAAAAGTGGTCTTGGGTTGGGGCAGCAGAGAGAAATTCAGAAGGGGAATGTTGAAGTGATGACTGCAGTGGGAGAAGAGGGAACCTATCTCTCAGGCCATAGGCACTGGTGCCCTGGTCAGGAAGGATGTCCGGAGGGTCGTCCGCAAGATGTCCACCCTAATTAACATATTACCCTTTTATTAGCATAGACTCACCTTATTTAATTCTCATAAAAATTCCAAAAGATTTTGTTGAAATTTGATAAAATTTTTCTTATCCTCATTAAAGTAGGGACTTAGATTTTGATAAATACTGAAGTATAGAAAGTAGTGCTAAAAGATATTAAAACCTATCAACCTATAATAGTTATTTCAACAGATATATCAGTGGAGTTAAAGTAAAAAATTGAAAAACAGACAAAAGTTAATAGTTTCAAAAAGTAATATTGTAAATGAATCTTGTTGGTATTGGCCTTTGAGATGTCCCTATTCCTTATACATTTGGATAGGTTCAAATGGAAGAATGAAAGACATATATGTAGAAAAATTTCCATAAACCACAACTAGAATAAAAATCGTGCCTATGCATATATGTGTGTGAATGTATTTTTGATGTGCTTTAGGATTTTTAAAAGCATGATAAAGGCAGAAAGCATAAAGGAGAAAATGAATTTGCTTAGACAAAAACAACTTATACATGTTAAAAACAACCATGAAGAAATAAAAATGAAAATAAGGTCCTGTGGGATATATTTGTCTAGTGTGATATATAGATATGGTCTAATATATTATATACACACTAGAGGTCTGGTGCACAAAATTCATGCATGGGTGTCCCACAGCCAAGCCTGCACCGTCTCCAATCTGGGACCCTTTGAGGGATGTCCCACCAGAATTGGGCCTAAATGGGAAATTGGACATCCCTATCACATTCCAGGACTGCTGGCTCCCAACTGCTCGCCTGCCTGCTTACCTGATTTCCCCTAACTGCTTCTGGCTGCCAGTCTGATCACTACCTAACCATTCCCCTGACAGCCTGAATGACACCTAACTCCTCCCCTTCTGGCCTGATTGCCCTTATCTGCCCTCCCCTGATAGCCTGGTCACCCCCAACTGCCCTCACCTGCAGGCCTGGTCCCCTCCCAACTGCTCTCCTCTGTTGGCCTGATTTCCCACAACTTCCCTCCCCTCATCCCTGCCAGCCATCTTAAGGCATCTGCCTTGTGTCCACATGGGGGTGGCCATCTTGTGTGTTGGAGTGATGGTCAATTTGCTTATTACCTCTTTGTTATATAAGATACATATACGCCTTAATATTTATATATTTATATATGTTTTAAAAATATAGATATAGCAAAAACCAGGTTTGGCTCAGTGGATAGAGCATTGGTCTGCAAACTGAAAGGTCCCAGGTTCAATTCCGGTCTAGGGCATGTACATTGGTTGTGGGCACATCCCTGGTAGGGGTTGTGCAAGAGGCAGATGATAGATATTTCTCTCTCATTGATGTTTCTAGCTCTCTATCCCTCTCCCTCTCTGTAAAAAATCAATAAAATATATTTAAAATATATATATTGATATAGCCCTAGCTGGTTTGGCTCAGTGGATAGAGCATTGGCCTGTGGAATGAAAGGTCCCAGGCTCGATTCCAGTTAAGGGCACATGCCTTGGTAGTGGGCTTGATCCCCAGTAGGGAGTGTGCTGGAAGCAGATGATCAGTAATTCTCTCTCATCATTGGTGCTTCTATCTCTCTTTTCCTTCCTCTCTGAAATCAATAAAAATAAATGAATATATAGAGATATATGTCTATATATAGCATATTATCTATATCATGTTAAACCTAACAAAACAATCAATATAAATAATCAATATGATAAATATTTCAGTGGTATAATGTAAAAAGGTTAAGACAGAAAAATCATAAGAAAAACACAAATGGACAGTAAACATTCTAACATACATCTAATCTCATGTTTTCAAGAATTTAAGTTAAAAACATGATATATACCATTTTTGTGCCTGTTGAAGTGAAAAATATTTTAAAAATAATCTTATATTAAAATAATGATACTTAATCTGAGAAAAGATATAGCAAAATGGGCATTCTCATATTATTCTTTCCAAATAAGCCTACCTGTTAACACAAATAATAATTTTATGAGAATTTTTATTAAGATAATAATTAAAAGTTGTCCCCTGACATATTTTTACAGTATTTTTTAAATAATAAAAAATTTTATATTAAAGTACAAAATAAATAACATAACAATTCTACAACTGTTTGATGTTTAAATCATTTCAGATAAATCTGGATTTAAATATGATATAGATATTCTATAGTAAATATTCAGTCAATATGATTGAATATTGAAAGTATAAGTCTTATAAATTCATATTTGATGTGCAAATAGGCTCACCACAATCTATTAAGTAGAAAAATATTTGAAGATAATATGTTCAGCATGAATTAAAGATATATTTTCATAGGAAAAGAATAGAAATGTCAAAATTTTGGCAAGTCATTTTTGCATTATTACTGCTTGATATATCTGTATTTTCTAAATTTTCTATAATAACTATGTATTTAAATTTTTTTTAATGTTTGGAATAGTTTTAGATTTGCAGAAAAGCTGCAAAGATAGTAGAGTTCTCATATTTCCTTCCCCCGTTTCTCTTATTGTACATTTGTTAAAATTAAAATTTAGTATTTGTACATTACTATTACTAAACTATAGACTCTATTTGGATTTCATAAGATTATCAAATAATATTCTTAGTCTGTTGCAGGATCTAAGCCAGGACACCACATTGCATTTAGTGTATTACTTCTCTAAAGAGAAAAAGCCTCCAGAACTCATTAAAAAATGGCAACAACAACATAAAACCTCCTAATTGAGGAAAACGATAGCATTTGAGGAAAAAATTGGCTTTTCCTCGGCTTCCTATTGGCCAAGAAAAAAAAGGCAAAGATGATAGGAAACATAGGAATCAATTGTCTGATGCTGGCAGTCAGACATCCCCTGAGTGGTCCCAGATTGGAGAGGGTGCAGGCTGTGCACACTCCCTCTCCCCACAACC